CTGTAGCTTAGTGAAAAATCTGCTGATAAGCTGATTAAAAATAATCTGGTGATAAGCTAGGTGCGGGGGCTATTACAAATTTTTATTTTTTTGGAAAAATTTGTCAATAAGCTGTCACCGCACCTTAGATAGGTGCGGTGTGAAAACGCTGTTTTCTGCTTTTTGAAAATGCCACCGCACCTAGTTTTCACAAATATATGTGTGTTTTCAAAACGCCACCGCACCAAATAAGCTGCCCCAAATGGGCTCTAAATTTCCATAATTTTTATTATAAGTAATTAATTATTATTTTATATTTATTTTAAAATAAATTAATGACTGTATTTTTTTCTTCATCGAATTAGAAAACTTTAGACCTAATTTTTCTCATTATTATTATCCGAGGGAAAGCATAATACTTAATATATTGTCATTTTTTTTCTCCTTTTAATGGTATATAATAGGAGAAAATATATGAGTGATATTTTCTTATAATGTCATTTAATTATTGAAAACCTTTAGCTGGTGGAAACGTTTCAAATGCAAAAAACACTTTGTACGTGCTAAATTGTTGAATAAATTAATAGGATGCTCTCATAATTATACAGCCTGGGTTTTTTGTTGGGGCCTCGCAATCAGCCGAGTGTTTCTTCATGATGGAACTTTCTAAATTAATTAAATTTATCCTATTCTTTTTCAATTAAAAAAAGGTATTTAAAATAAATGATAATTTTGTAATTAAATTTTTCATAGATAATGAACGTGAAAAATATGTTAACACGGACCTTAAAGAGATCTGAGAGCAGACGTAAAAGATGACGTGACGGTTCGGGGCCCACCAAGAAGAAAAATAGTCTTAAGACGGACATAACTCGACCACCCTTCTAAAATTTACTAGCACAAAACTCACGCACATGCGTCCGCCGCCATTTCTGAACTAAATTGGGTGAACAATGAAGACCGCTCGAATCTAAAACAGTCGGTCGAAATCTCCCAGTCCACCATTCGATCATAGCGGCCCTGGAAATGATTAAGCCAATCATTCCCTCAGGCTCCCAACGCGTGGCAGCTTGGCTCAAAATCTGGTTCGGTGCCATCCCGGGCTCCCAACCCCATCCACCCTGATGCCACTGCAGACTCCCGGCCCTATAATTATGTTTTGACCAAAAATAATTCTGATGTATCTATTTTTCAATGTAACTTTAACATCCTACATTCTCATAAATAGGAGCTCATTTCTTGAATAAAGGTTATGTGATTTCACTATTCATTAGTAAGCTTTATCTGCACTTTTCCTCTTATTCATGCACTATTCCTTAGTCGTGTCACCCGAACAGTTTTGGATTCAACATTTTAAAAGATACAATGAGTGTGGAGTCATGACGTGAACAAGAAAATGAGTGCAATGATCACATCAAGAAGAGAGTCATCAAAGAGAAGTAGCCAACGAAGAATGCACCAGATAAGACATGTAGGAACTCATGCAACGGGGAATGCAAGAGTTAAGGACCCATATAATGGACCAGGTGTCTGACCAGATTGCAGAGGTCCCAAGAGCCATCACGAAAGTGCCTATCCCCTACAACACTTAAATGCAAGTGCCTCGAAGGCGTATTGAGGTGCCTTCTTGCATTTAAGTGTTGCGTGTTTTTCACCAATGTGAGGTTGTCATCTATGAAGTGGTTCACCTCTCTTATGAGTAAAAGTATCAGCAACTTTTCAAACTTCCAAAGAATCTTCCAGGTGTGATTTGCAAGAGCCCGAGTACCAAAGAAGAATGTGCAGTCCTTCTGGAAACTAAATCAGGAACAAAACAAAAGCCTGCATTCCGCAACCTGTAACCAGGGGGAGAAGCTGGACTTAAGGGACCTTCGAACCAACATGGTGCAGGCCACCCTGAAGTAGAGCATGAGGCCCAAGAGGTTTCATTATGACCTCAGTTTGTACAAACTCTAGAATTTCGTCGGGCTGTCATAAATGGCCAACAAGCACATCATTGTCAAGGAGAGCATCCACCATCCGGAGCTGGCAAATCGCCGGGTCCAGAAGAGACCCTATCAAGTAGTGAGTGAAAATCGTGGGAGGATCCCAGACCAACCATCTAACCAATGTATGAAGTGTCAATGGAATTCAGATATTAGGGATTCTGACCATTGCAACGATAAATGAAGCCAGATAAGAAACCCGAATCGGCAACTGACTCAGTATTATGAGAGGTTGACCCAACATTATGAATAACCCTTCAATGCGTTTGAGAGACCCTAAGACACTTAATTGAGATTTTCGATAACAGAGATTGTGGACATCATCCAAGATAAGAAGTACTTCAAGAAGGCGACACTGAAGAGGATGTTGGCCTTATTTTTTGTCAACCCTCTTTCCATTGACTGAAGCTTGATTAGGCTTCACTTGAAATCAATATTGACTAAACCTTGAAATTATTGATTTCTCTCTAAATATTATTATAAGGATAAAAACCTCATTTGAAATTTAAATGAAGCTTATTATCACTAATAAAGACCATGCAAATCAATCAGATCATCAGTTGAAAAAACTTTTACATAAAGTTGTGCCCTCTTTAACCAAACATATTTTTCTATAGATGTTGAACTAGCCAAAAACAATTGAACCATTAAACTCATTTATATTTTCTTTATTCATTTGACCAAAGTCAAATTTTTGGTTAAACCTTAACTACTCAGTCAACAAATTTTGAGTTTCACAACTCTATTTTTTAAACCATTTTGACTATTGAATTTCTTATTTTGTTCTCTTCAAGTTGGAATATATTTTCAAATTTATTTGATCAGCCTTGTTAATTTTACTTTTTGGACTTATTTACAAAAAATGTCATTTACCCATTTAATTAATTATTCATTTTTTCCATTAATTGACACATTAGAAATCCTTGAGCTTAAATATATCTGTATCAAGTGGCAGCAGCCGAAATACCTCCATTGTTACCAAATCTCTACCATTAATTTCAAAAATAAACTCCTCTCTACTTCATAACCATCCATCTACCCCAATACTCTATGAAAACCGCCCTACTCCCTTAATTAAATTGTTGAAACCTCCAATTCAGCCAAGATTCATGCCACAATCAGCCAAGAACTCCCTCTCCTTCCTAAATTCCAAGAAAAAAGATTCTTCCTCTTCACTTTTCACCATATTTTATTGTCATTCGACGGGCAAATCGTGAGCTTCAAGGAAGAATTCAAAGAGCAATTAAGGCAAGCATTCTAATCAATTCATTTTAAAGGGAAGTTATGATGTTTCTCTATTAATTTCATAAGCTCTCTTCTTAAATTTATAGGGTTTTTTTATTGATGATTCTTATCCCAAAGACTTTAGGTAACATTTCTGCATACATTCATGCAACAATTTCATGAAATTTCACCATGTATTTCTCTAAACCGAAATATTCTTGTATAAAGCCATGGGGAATTTCATTTATTTGCATTCTATCATGTTGTTTTGATATTAATTAAAGAAAGTTTTCAAATCTCATTCAAATTCTATAAGGCTTTTGTTGTAGTTTTGATTAATGTGTTTAATTAATGCTCTCATTCAAACTAAAACAATTTTGTATAAAATCATGTCTTTTTTTTATAATCACCATTTTATACCGTTTAATTGATTTTATTATATAAATCTAACATGTATTCATTCAAATTTGTCCAAACTGAGAACACAATTGCATGTGGTCATAGGTTTTTGATCCAACTATTTTGCTACATGCTTGTTTAATATTATTATGTACAATTTAACATAGTTTTGTTTTTTTTTTTTTTTTTTTTTTTTTAATTATGCATATGTGATGCTATCATTTTATGTTACTCATGTTTACTCCATGTTCATGCTTAAACAGTGTATGCATGCTATGTAGTTTAATAATAGTTTCCTTTATGCCTAAAAGTATGTTTCTTAAATGTTACATATTAAAGTAAGTTATCCATAAGTTTTTCATGGCTTATTCCTTGTATGTAATAATTAACACTTGTATGATTTTTATTTAATCAAAACTAAATGCTAAAATCACTAAAGCACAAAAACAGAGAGCTTATAAGGACTAAATTTAGTTAGTAGAATCATTTATAGGTTAATTATATTATAATTATTTGCATTAAGTCTTAAAACATATTTAAATCTCATTAATTACAATTAAAAAAATTTACCTGAAAACCTTATTATTTAAGATTTTATAAATTCATCCAATCTATTTCTAACTGAAACTTTAACCCAATAATTTGATTAATTGAATAATTATTAATTTAATTAATCCATTAAACATTCAATTTAAATTTTAAAGAATTTAATCAGTAAACATTATTTAATAAATATCTAACTCAATCAATCAACAAATTTAATTGATATATTAAATAAGTAATTCATATTATATTTAATCAATTATACAATAATTTAACAATATATATATATATAATTAAACATATAATTAAATGTTAGTATACAAAGGTGTACGTTTATTAAATATATATTAAAACTATCTTTATAAATGTGCATGTATCTATGTATATTAAAGACATTTTATTTGTTTGGATATTTGTGATTATATATAAAATGTGTATGTATGTTAAATGCTATTTTAAAAACCTGTGTATGTGCATGCATACATACATATACATACATATATGTATACATAAATATGAATATAATCATAATGTGTCGTGTTCCCAGGTCAGTTGGTATAACATCCTCTTAGGATGTGCAAGTCCCTTCTGATCATGGGTTTGAATCATGTCTCTGGCGACTGTTGCATCAAAGAGGGGGTACTCGCCCCTCAATCAGGTTATATATATACCAAGCCCAAAGAAGTCATTCGTGCTCAGCACGAGCTATCCATGAATGAGTCATTTTGCCAGCCCTGCACAAAACTATTAGTGTAAGTTAATTAACATGTGTAATTAACTTAAACTTACAGTTTGATGTAATTAAAATAATAATGTGAACTGAAAAATAGATAATGCTATTAAAAAAAATGAATTCTCAAATATTGCATGCTGAAATAAAATTTCATTTAATTGACAAGGAACATAGCTCTTCTATTTACAGAAATGGAAGCAAACATTAAAGTATCGTAACGTGTTTCAATAACATGTACTGCATTCACTCCCATTTATAAAAAAAGGGGGAAAAAAATCCATTAATTGAACCAATTTGCAATCCATAAGCAAAACTGAGTGAAGCTCAGAACTCCGTGTCCAAGCAAGCATAAAAGATCTTTGAAACCATTGATCGGGCAAAAGGAATGTAGCTCAGACCATACCTATTCAGAAAGCAGATAATACGGATCAAAAAAGATAAAAACTAACAAATATACAAAAGTAACCAAAAAAAAGGATGATTTACATAAATACCACTAAAATGCTTGTGCATTAAAAAGTTGAAAGATTTGTGTGGTATACATGTAAAAGCAAAATTTAAGTCTTAGATACATAAAAGTTCCATTTCAAATAAAATTATATTAGCCCCACTTTTGGGCATGATAGTAGTACGCATTCGGTTGCAATTCTAAATCAGAGAAGGATGCAGTTGTCTTAGTCCAGGAATATGACCAATCATGCATATACAAGAAATGGAACTTTTAAAAGTGAAGAAATCAGAAAACAAAAATCACAAGAACAAACCAAAATAGCAATTTTTACCAAATAATTAGGAAATGACGGTATTGAATCATCAAATGAGAATGATCCAGAAGTCATAGGGAATGGGGCTTTAGGGTTACAGAAATGGACAGCATCAAATAACCAAATGAGGTAGATCAATCTTATACGAATACCTACTTTTATTAGCTGAGAAATCAAGACCGTATGTGACAATATCCAACAAGTTGTGGACAAAACACATCATCAATTTGACTATAAAGAGTCCCAGTTGGTCTTCCGCAAGCGATGATATATGACAGATGAGCAAAGAAAGGTTTCGCGTCAGCAAAATTTCTCCAAATTGTGCCAGCTCAACCAGTATATTGAAAAAATTTCAACAAATTTTTCTCAAAATGTTCGTCATTTCGTACAGTTTTCCCAGATGAATCCTACTGAAAGGATGAATCATATAGACATAAATCCAACAAAGGGATGAAGACCATGGTGGGGCTTTTTTCACAAATACCCAATGCTCCCAATAAATTCAATATATAAAACTTCAAAAGAATTGCAATAGGAGACCTAATTGTATCCTTTAATCTAAGAATATCCAGATTATCAATATATGCTGATCCATATACAAAGAAGTGATGGTCCCCATCTTATCATAAAAAATGTGTACAGATTAAATGTGCTCGCCCTTCAGCTAACACGCCTTAGTCGATCAAACTGGTGCCTAAACCACATTTGATAGATGACGCTAGATGTCTGCGATAACATTGTGATATTACTAATGGTGAAAGTTCAGAAGTTTTGTGTAGCAAAATGACAAGAAGATCTAAAGAGATGCAAAACCTCATTTGAATGGGCAATAGTAGAGATGCAAGAGCCCATCAGATATCAAAATTGAATGGGCAATAGTTGAGATGAAAAGTGAAAAACCCAAATGGGAGGTTGGGGGTCGATCCAATATCAAGGCCGAAAGAGTAAAAGTAGTTTTGGTGACAAAGGCAAAATATGCAGAAGTTTGTCAAGTGTCAAATTTGTACAAAAGTAAGTTGGGCAACAAAGGTCAACTTACCTAGGGTTGACCAAGTATCCAAATCTAGACGGGCAAGGGTCGGTCAAGTGGGAGAAGGCCTGACAAGCAAAAGAGAACTCTTGCTTAAAGCTAGCATTATTCCCAACAAAGGCCTCATAGCATCCTCAAAGTTGCACTTTGGACATTGCATAAAGTCACCAATTATGTAACAGTTGGCCTGATCTGTATTTCTAAGGACGTTTTGCATCAATATCATAGAAGTGAGAGTATATATTGACAAACCGATACTCTCACTATATGTGAATGACAGCTCTGGAATGTGGGCTCCAAAAATTCCAAAGGCTCTCCCTGAACTTTCTGTATTTCATTTTAATTTTGCATAATTTAGAGAGCTTTAGAGAGTCAAATTTTCAAAAGGTAGATTTGATTGTAGATAAGACACTATGTAGAGATTGCGCCCTCATTCTACAAGGACTTTTTGATCTACGGTTCGAGGTTTCTCAAAGGTGTAAGCCCCAATGGCTAATTACCTCTCGTAATAACAGGATAGCAGTTTTGACTAAGGCTAGTTACTTATAATTGAGTATTCAGCATATAATAACAGCAAAGCTAAAATTTTAAATTATAAAATCTATCGCTTGAAGCTTAAAGTGAATGGTGGGGGAATGAAGACGGAATCTGCTTAATATCTCATGATTTTGTCATCCCGGGCAGTCAAGGCCCATGATTTACTTAGTCAAAGGAGACCCAACCTGATAGAAAGATTCTTATCAGCAGTCATGGGTTGCGGCATCCAATAGATCCTTATAGATTTGATATGGATATTTATCTAATGCGATAAATTTTAGTCGACTTTCGCTAACAGAAGGTTTTATGTAATCAATTGTACTCGAATGATTCACAACACAAGGGTAGAAAGTCGTTTGGAGAACATACGAGCTACGGCCGTGACTGTGATATAATAATATCATTTGGCGACAACCACTCAATCATAGGACTCTAGTCATAACAGCTATTTTGTAGTGTCATTTGGAGGCAAAATCACGCAGATAGAAGACTCGAGTCACGTCCTTACTAGCGTTTAATTGTTTTGATTGTGAACATAGGGACACAATTTGACATAAGCTTCTTGTGAGCTAAGGTCATTCGGGAATTTGACACCCTCAACAAACTATTGCGGAGGACAGATGAATTTTATTTTTAGCTTTTAATTGATTGAATTTAACTTGCATATTAGTTAGTTATTTTAAAAATATTGATTTTTAAGATTAAACCCTCCGATTAAAATATCCTATTAACTCAGCCATCATTGGAGAGTTAAGCGTTTAAAACATTTATATTTGAAGGGGCATTTAATTTCATTTTTTTAGGGTTAAAATCTTGTCAACTCCTGTTCGTTTAAAGATCGGACTAGATGATTTAGATTTGTAAATTTCAACCTTTAGGATTTGGGCATTATTTCAAAATTACCAGACTCGTCAACTTCACACCTTACGAGAAGGATCAAACTTCTTGGTTGAGACTTACAACCTTACCTTACAGACAAGGCGGCCTGATTAGCCCGCACAGCATTCTCGAACCATGTATTTTAGCATTTAACACATTAGGAGCACATGCGGGCATTTAATTTTCTATATTTGAATAACTTCAAGAGTTTTATAAGCTTTGAAAACTTGAAAAATTTTATTTAAGCCATGAAACTAATATGGAATTTACGTTAGGAGGCATATGCACGATTTTAAAAAATATATATATAATTGATTTGCTTATATAGACCTCAAAGCATACATAACTCATGAGTATCTCAAATGGTAATCATCTAAGTCTAAAAGTAAGCTCACATTTCAAGATATCACATTTGATTTACGAGATAACCACGAAATTTAGATAGATTTTTGAAATCATTTAGATCTTAAAATATTTGCAAAAACATTATGATTTTAGACTTCAAAAATAGATCGTCTTCTGTCCGCTAGTAGCTGTATTGCATATCAGGTGGCAGGCTTAGAAAAAACCCTAAATTTAAAAAAAAATTCTCTAGACGAGTTCACGATTTTCCCGTCCGCCGAGTATTGTGCTCTTCTTGAATGGAGATTTTCAAAATTTTCTCATTACCTCAAATTTATACATTTCCGAGCCTCGATGTCATTGACAGTGATGACAAAATAAAGCATCATAATAGATCCTCTTTTCTTATAACAACACACATCAACAATAATTAAATAAAATAAACAATAAAAAAGGCTTAAGTTGGTAGAAGGGATCGGGTCTGACAATAAGGAGGAGCGAGTCAAATTCTATGGCAGCGGGAGTTCGGCTTCGACAGGTTGAAACACAAGGAAGAGTTTGGCACAGATATTGGAGGATCGAGCAAAGACTCTTTCGTGTAGGCTGCGCAAGGGAGGAACAGAGGAGATCTTGCAAGGAACAAGGGTTCGGGCATGGTTCGAGAGGCGCGACAGGAAGGAGCAGTGGCAAACGGCTAGGGCAATGGCTTTAGGAAGGGGGCTTGCGACGACGACAGGGAGAACAAATCGCAGTAGGGAGACGTAGTAGGGATAGCATGTGACATGCAAAGACAAGGAAAGTTTGGCGAGTGGAGGATTCTGTTGCGGCTTATATGAGCAACTGCATAGGTAGTATTGAGCAGCCGGAGAGGCATTGTAGGTAGGAGATTCGATCAGGTGGCGTATGAGAGAGGGAAGGCACTGTGTAGGAATTGAAGGACTGGGACACAATAATTTAAAGTCCTCAATTCCAAACAGGAGATGTATTTGCGGATTGTTACAACATAAAAGTGAAAAATTCATGCGTGTGGGAAGAAAAAGAATAGATTAAACAGAAAAATATTTAGGAATTACATGCAATTAGAAAGATCGCAACACAGGAAGGCTTCAATCGTTTGAATTGAGAAGAGTGGTATGCCAACAGTGAAGAACAAATATATAAGAAATATAGAAGAAATACAGGCAAAGGATTTATTGTTTCGTTGTGCAGATTCCGAACCGAAGAGTAAGTATGCTTGCGAGGAATGGCAAAAAATGTGCAAATGAGAGTTTTTTTTTTTCTTTTGTTCGTTTGTTTGTAACCGGAAGGGAACGATTATGAGGGAAAGGTTATCATTTGAGCAGGCTCTAAGAGGCGGGATCAAGTATCATTTTAAGTTAATTAATTTAATTTTAGTTAATATAACTTTTTTTTTTATTTTTCCCCTCCCATTTTTATTTCTATGGTCAACAAATGCCCCCCAACAAATGTGGTTCTCGATTTCAAAAAACTTTGTTTGGATGACCACATTGAAGATTTCACTTTGCAAATCTTCAAGAATGCTAGTCGGATGCCAATGCAAAGTATAATTTTGCGCTAAATATACAAGCTTATAGTGTTATATACCAATTCTGGTTTACATCGCCTACATTTACTGTTCTGACATGCTCAATGAAGTAATTAACCTGAATTGTCTCTATAGACTTGTCTGGTGAATGAGCATGCCTTCAGTCATAGCTTTGTGCTTTAGTTGACTTGTTAAAAGAATTGAACTGAATTGCCTCTGCGGACTTGTCAGGTAAGTGAGCGCACCTTCAGTTATAGCTTTGTGCCTGGCGGAGTTGTTGAAGGATGCATACAATGACCTAACCT